TCTGTCCTGGACTCCCTGTGTTTCCAGTTCCTAACTGTACCAGTGTACCTCCTCTGGTCTAGCCGGATTTGTAAGGTAGAATTGGGGTCATGATAGTGGTGGGGGGGAGAAGCATTAAAGAACCAGAGGAAAGTTGTTTGTTTCATCGTTGCTACACTGCACCCTGACTGGCTCATCTCCTCCCCAAGACCCTTCTCTAAGGGGATGTCCAGCTGCCTACAGATGGGCTTTGGGTCACCACTATGCGTTCCCCCTCATTCACAATATCCCACAAACGTTTTGAAGCCCCTTCACCTGGGCTGAGGGGCCAGCCCATGTACCCACTTCCTGAAAGTGGCCTTTGGCCGTCAAGCACCCGAGGCTACTTACAAGATCCTTGCCAGTGTGGCTGAGTCGGCTCTGCGCTGTGGGACAGAGCAGAATGCCCCTGGGGCTCCTGAGGCCGTCACTGTTTGTGGACGTGGGAAGCCCCATCTTTCTCCCATCAAGAGCCTGGAGGTTTCAAAGCTTGGACCTCGCAGTCAACAGCCCTGTGAGGCACCACCACGCCACCAGGGCTCGGGACTAACAACAAGCGCGGTAAGTCAGAACAACTGGGCAACCCTCCACACTGTGGTTTTTGTCCGAATCAATCCCCCAGAAGGCCTTGGCTCCTCCGAAAAACAGGCTCAAGGATATTTGTAGGAACCGCGTATTGGAGACCACCAGACAATTAGTGTGGGCCTAGACGGTGCCTCACAGTGTGTGGGGACAGCAGGGTGTCATGCAGCCATCGAAGCAGAGAGGCAGCCTCTTCCGATAAGGAGCCTTCTCCAAGCCATAGTCTTAAGAAGGAAGAGCCAGGTACAAGCCAGGAGGGCTGTTGTCTGGCTGCATCAGTGCAGGGCTGAGCATGCAGCAGGTGCGTTCCGGCGGGCACTGGGTGGACGAGTCGGCTCTTTCTTGGAAGGCTCCCATGACCCCGTGAGCAGAGGCCAGGTATAAGGAGAACCCTGTGGCCACACTGCTGTGCTGTGTACAGTCCAGCACATGCCGGTACGGCCTCTTTCAAGGAGTGAGGCTTTTGTTATTGAAAAAGAAGAAATCGCAGTGCCTTCGGCCACCTTGTGTGCCCACCAGCCAAGGGCGAGGGTTGTGGAGTCCCCTCACGCTTGCCCGCACGCAGGACCCTGGCCGTGCTTCCTGGAGACTGTAGATCTCAAGCGCTCCAACTGTCAAAGGCCTCACATGAAAACTGGGCGTGGGGGTTTTTCGTGAAGACTAGGAGAAAGGCCCGGTCAGCTGGGGGGGCTCCAGGAATGACATTGACCTGAGCTCCGCTCTGGCCACCCCTCAGCCAGGCAGGCCCAGGACCCCCGCTGCCTCTCCTCTCTGCCCTGCTGGCCCTGCTCCTGCAACCTGATTGAAGCAATGACCTGCCTGGTGGCAGTCGTGAGGGGCAGGGGACTCCCCAAGGCAGGCAGGGAGGCTGTTAGTCCACCTCCGCACCCCTTTCAACTCCACTTAAGACCTCAAAGGTCACAGCAGGCCAAGGCACTTCCAGGGCTGAGAACGTTGGCCTTTCGCAAGCCTGCTCCTCTTACACAAGAGCCCCGCCCCGCCTCCCCCACTGAGGCCCAGGGCTGTAATTCAACCCCGAGGGAGGGCCACTTGTGCAACCTTGAACTAGGGTCTTGGACAAAGAGGTAGGAGAGAGGGTGAAAGGGCGGGCTTCGGAAAGACTGCCCTGGCTGGACTCCGGGCCCCTTTCTAGACACGAAACTCCACACAAGTCGCTCTCCAAGCCCCCGGCAGCCGGCAGCCGGCTCGTCCCCAGGCACTGCACTCTCCTCTGCGCAGGCCCCAGGACACCGAGGCCCAGAAGGGCCACAGACCTGCTTACAGGGCACACAGGACACAGAGAGAGGACAGGGGCCTCTGGGTTTGAACCCAGGCGGCTTCCTGCTCCCACACCCTGGCAATGGTGCTGTGAATAGGGACTGCCTAGGGCGGCCATCCGCCTGACGAGATAGTCACACACACACACACACACACACTCACATGCTCAGACACACACACACTCACACCCATGTACACACACATACACACAGATACATACACACTCAGACACACTCACATGTACACACAGATACATACACATACTCACACACATACACACACACATGTACACACAGATACATACACACACACATACATACACACACTCACACACTATCTGCTGGAGTCTGGTCCCACAGAAAGCACGCATGTATGCTGGCCGTCCTGTGGTGGGGGACTCATATATGGCAGCTGCTGCCCAATGACTACTATTGATACCAAAGGTGGGGGCATGAGGCAGGGAGGGGAGAGAGATGAGGTCTGGCATAAGGCTGAATGGAAGCTGAAATGCTGAGTCCCCCACCCCACCCCCATTTGCAGAAGGCTACAGAGGGCAGTGAAAACCCAGAATCCATTTGCAAAGCCCCACCATGGAACCCCTCCCGTGACTGACCAGGGATGGGGACAGTCTTGTCCTCCGGCAGAGCACATGGGGCAGTGGGTCACCGCCACCCCTCTCCACCTGCCCGCGGAGGCGCAGTTTATCGGGGCTCACCCTGATGGACAGGACTAGGGGGTCAGACAGTCCGGAGTCAGGCCCTGTCCACTGCTTTGGTCAGAATGCGCTGACCCAGCCCTGGGAGCATTTCTCTCATACGGTGTCTGGACCATAGTTCAGGGACGTCCCCTGTAGTCCTCTCTCTATTGGTGATAGATTGATCTGCCGACGATCGGCCTTCTGTTCCATTTCGGTTGCCCTCCCCTGACCTTAACGGTTCCAGGCGGGGTCGCCAGCTACGAGCTCAGCAGTGTGGAGCCACCAGCCGCTCCTCGGGAGAAAGACCGGCGTCCTGCTCCCATGCAGAGCGACTGTCTTGGAAAGACACAGGGGCGTTCTCCCCTTCCTGTGGGGCTGCTGGGAGGGGACACTGGCTCAAGGCCAGTCGGTCTGGTTAGATGTCTCTTACTGCTCTGAATCTCAGCAGACCCCCAGATGCCATCTCCCTCATCCGCAGGACCACGCGTCTGTCTTTGACTTGCCTTTGTCCCCTTTGAGACTTAATAAGTGTCACAGTAATATAGAATTGATCAAGATTTCATGAGGGTGGGAGGGGGAAAAAGAGGAGCTTATACCAAGGGCTTAAGCAGAAAGAAATCGTTTTGGAAATGTCGATGGCAACCTATATACAAGTGTGCTGAATACAACTGGATGACGGTTGTAAGAAGATTTGTAAGAGCTCCCTGATAGAATAATTTTTAAAATGATTTGATAGATGTTCCCCTCTAATTATACTTGAGATCAGGGCCCCTTTTGTACCTGAAACAACAGGGATGTGCAGAGCCTCCTGCTCTCCCTCCAGGGGCCCCGAGGGGAGGAGGAGGTCCCCCACGGGGGACAGGAAGGGGCACGGAAGCCCCCGTGCCTGGAATCTGGGAAGAGTTTGGTCACAGGTGGTGGTGGCTGACTGCCCAGAGGTTCCTGGAAACGGCCGGCTTCCCCTCAGGCCAGCCGGCTAGCCCATAGCAGTGACAGGCACGCCCCTCACCCTGCCTGAACTGGGCTTGACACCCACAACAGAGAAATGACTCCCACGGAGACACTGAGGCCACTGCAGCTTCCTCAGCCTCCTGGGGCAGGGGGCAGGGGGTTTGCCAGGGCTGCAGGGCGGAAGACCCAGAGGGCTGCCAGGCTCCCAACCTGCTGTCTGGTCCTTGGAAAGTCAGGTGCTCAGCCATCCTGGGTCTCATTCACAGGGCTAAGCAGACACAGACGTGCCCGTGCCACACCCTGTGGGCAGCTCAGCGTGGCCATCACCTGTTAATCATGTGACTCGCCCACCTACCTCCCTGGCCCTGCCCGCCGGGCACCCTGTCCGCTGAACGTCCCCACTCCCCTCCTCCGAGTCCATCCCAGCCCCCTCCTCACCAGGCCTGCGAATGCCTTCAGGGCCAGAGAGGAGAGAAGCCCCCTGCCCAGCGTGGTTCCTAAAGGGTCCAGCAGTCATACTACGGTTCTGGGCCACAGCTGGCGTCTCTAACCCCTTCTCCATGCCACCTCGCCTTCTCAAGACGTCTCACAGAAACCTGCCCACCCTTTGCCGTTCTGCTGGTGCCACAGCCAATCGGGGCAAGCACAGGTTCTCTTTAGACATGATCATTTATTTCTGTCCCCCAAAGTTTATTAATGTGGGATTCCTTGGTTTGCTCTTTCTCACCTTCTCGTGCGGCCACACGTCTGTCCATCCTTCCGTCTCTTCCTCTCTCTAACTCTCCGCTTTCGTACTTTCAACTACTCTCCCTGCACGCTGTCTTCCCATCTGCCCTCACGCTGCCCCTCGCTCTCAGTCCATTCTAAACATGAGGCAGGGCAGGGCAGGGCAGGGCAGGGCATTAACACTAATGAACCTGCCCATTGAAACCCACTTTCCTTGGCTTCCCACTCTGGCAGCGACCACAGGGGCGATGGTGGGGTGTCCGTTGCCTGAAGCACTGGGCCCCCACCCCCTGTGTTCCAGCCTCCTGACGTCTTCATGAGCTTCAGCCTAGGTTGCAGTGTCCAGGGCGACAGCTTCCTGTACCATGTCCCCCACCCCCCAGGTGGTGCCCAGGGCCACATGCTGTCCAGTGCACTTCAGGGGGCGGGAGGGGCAGGCCACCCTCAAGAGGCCCTGCTCTGGCCCGACCACATGGCAGGCCAGGAGGGGATGAGGCAAGCACTGAAGACCCCACCTCTCCAGAAAGCCCCTCACAGCCAGCCAGCCCCTTCCCTCACTCCCCCCTCCCCCTTGCCAAGGACTGTCCCCTAGAAAAGGCAGGGTGATGGTGGTGGTGGTTTAGAAAACAGGACTCCTGGGGTCCACGTGCAGTGTGGCGTTGCCTCGGGCACATCTCCCTCCCCATCTCAGCACAAGCTTTTGTGGCTTCTCTTCCCCCCGCCCCCCAAGGCTTCCCACCACTCCCACCTCAGGTCTCCTGAAGAGAAAGGCTGGCGGGATCCATGGGGAGGTGGAGGGGAACAGCAGCCAGCTTGCCCACGGTCCTCCCAGCCGCAGGATCCTCTTGGATGGGGCTGTCCTAAAAATAGTTAGCGGGGCTCAGGGCGGGAGGGGTGGACTGGCATTGACATTTCCTTCTGCCTTGGCCGCTGGGTGGACGCTGTGCACAGCCTGACGGTGACTGTGACGCAGGCTGGACCCTTGGCCCTTCCTGGACGCCGGCACCTCAGCTCCCCTGCCCAGGGTCAGGGTGATAAGATGGGCTTGAAGGCTGGAGACTAGACAGGAAGGTGGGAGAAAGAGGAGGGGAGAGGGGAGGGAGGACAGAGGGGAGAGGGGCCAGGGAGGGGAGAGGAGGAAGAAGACTGTGTCCAGGACAGGGCTCGGGACTGCCCCACCCCCACCCCTGCACACTCCCCACTGAGGCAGGCTGGGGTGCCGGAGCTTCCACTTCACAGATGCAAACACCGAGGCTGAGGGTGGGAGGGTCATGTGCCCAAGACTCCAGAGTCAGAAAGTGGCAGAACTGGGATTAGAACTCATGGCTTCAGCCCTTGGTCTTCCTGGCTGCAAACCCAAAACCATTTAGATAGTGTTTCCCAAACCGTGGCTCTAACACGGCCCACCCCCACGTCAGCAGGAGGGAAAACCCACTTACTGCCACCAAGTCACCACTCACGGTGACCCTACGGGACGGGGTAGAACTGGCCCATGGGTT